TTAAATTCTTAAGCTTGAAGAGGAGTATCAGGAGAATCTAAACCATTCAGTTGCAGCGTTTGTTTCTTTATTTTATTTTAATGTATGCCGTTCCAGAAGCCTTCCGCTACAGTAAAAATAAATAAATCAGATGACCAGAGAATGAATCACACTTATCAGATGTGTCTGTATTGTAAGAGTCATGGAGAAAATGTCCCACTCCTAGGATGATTTGAGTACCTGCCACAAAGATGTAAATCAGGCTGCCTCGGAGAGCATGTGTATTTTCTTTTTTTTTCTTTTGCTAGGGAAGGTCGGTAATGAAAATACAGTTAGATAAGCATGCTGGGGTCAAAGCAGCATGAATGGCTAGGTAGCTATGGAGTCAGAGGAAGAGTTCCATCGTGGATGCGATGCTTGTTAAATGTTTAAAAACAAAGAGCAGGAATAAACGGTCAATTTTCAGCACAGCAAGGTTAATAGCGGTGTGTCCCAATGGTACGAACAAGAGGCAGGATTATTTAGTAATGATCTGGAAGAGAGGGCAAACAGTGACCGGTGTAACATTTATGGAATTCAAAAGTATTTAGTATCGAAGTAAACCCAAAAGTATTTAGTATCGAAGTAAACCTAAAAGTATTTAGTATCGAAGTAAACCTAAAAGTATTTAGGTCTGTCAAGACTAAAGAGGATTTTGAGGAATTTCCAAGGACCTAACAAAGCTACGTGTGGGGGAGGAACTATGTTGATTTGAAAATGGTTTGATCTTAGAAGGTGTCATAGGAGAAATGACAAGCAAAATTGTATGATGGGGTATGTTGTGGGACAAAGGGCAAAAGGACCACATGGTGCTGGGTGCATGGAGACACAGAGGCTGGGATCCCTGGACGGTAACACTATTCAGACTGCTTGTTCAGAACTTGGTGTGTGTGTGTGTGTGTGTGTGTGTGTGAGAGAGAGAGAGAGAATGAATCTGAAGGACTGTTAGTTGGCTCCCGCGAGGGAGGGAGCAGGCTCACAGCAGGTCATGAGGGGAAGAACTGCTGGGCTCTTATAAGGTTAAGCTGACCCTATTGCACTAGGAAGTAGGAAGGTTACTGAACACTATTGTTTTGGTTATGTTATGTTTACTCGGGTTAAATAATAGTGCAGTGTTTTGTCAAACCTAGGAGTCAGAGATGTGGTCAGTCAGTAGGTTTTAAAGAGATCCGCAGGGCCCTCAAAATAGAGTTAAGAAAAGCACCCACGACTGCCCAATAAAAAGGCTGTTCTAGCACCCTAGAGACACCCCAGTGCTGAATAAGGTGTAAACCAAGGAAGGGGCAGGTCATGACACCATTTACCATTGCAACATGAGGGTGGTGAAGCCCTGGAATGGGTTCCCTAGGGAAGTTATGGAATCTCCATCCTTAGAGGTTTTTAAGGCCCGGCTTGACAAAGCCCTGGCTGGGATGATTTAGTTGGGGTTGGTCCTGCTTTGAGCA